ATTAACATGAGCAGACTCAAGTACAAAATATACCAGATCAGTACTTAGCAAAATATTTCATATTATATAACTCCAAAGCACAGCAGCATACACATCTGTCAAAACTGCAGCTTATGATGCATTCTTTCTGATAAAGTCAATCTCTCACAACTAAAAAACTAAAGAGTTCCCATAGATGTTGGTGCGACAATTACCTTGAGTCGTCCGTGTGTGGAAAAAAATTCAGCATCCCCTCACCCCGGATGCCTCCCACCCCGCCGACTCGACTCTCCACTCCCTCGGCGCCTCCCCTCCTTTGTGTGCTTGCAGGGTACATGACTCAGGCTAAAAGGTAATTAGAAAATTCATTATGCGGAAAATACAGCAAGGCTAAAAAGGTATACAAATCATATATTGCACGATAATGATTCTTAATTTTGTCTCCTTTGTGTACTTGCAGGGTACATGACTCAGGCTTGTGCTAAAAGAAGATGAGCAAGACAAAAGCAATGCTTATCCTTTCAAAATGTAACTACAGAAAAATCAATGCATATCCTTTCAAAATGTAACAATAGAAAACTATAGCCTGTTCTCATTTGATAAATCAATGCTTATCCTTTCAAAAATTTTGGAGCAGGCACTATTCAAACTCACAAGAGGCAACAAAATATAGCTATTGGATTGCATTCATCTCCAGTTTCCATGTACATTTGGCAGAAAAGAAGCTTGCCGGACACAAAAATCTAAATGTGTTTCTACAACTAATAACAATGTTACCATTATCTACCATCAAGCAAAACCACATCTTTCATGAATCAAGAATAATGGTAAATTGATTGTTACAACCTAGTGCCTAGTGCTTAAGGGCAACATAAAAACAATGCTACTAAAAGTTCACCAGCATCTGCTTCATCACAATTTGCAAAATCATACAGGTATATAGAAATATTACACAATTTTGCGTCAGTACATGACCACAGCCAGCTAGCTTCCGTCAATATTTCACAGGCAAATAAAATCTCTGCATAATGCACTGGAGGAGCATTCATGACTTACTAATGTCATAGAAAGAAAAACACACCCTCTACTGCGCCGTACTATCATCAGAATCGGTCGCATCGACGTTGCTGAAGTCTTGATCAGGAACCAGCACCTTCACCAGCTATGCAACCCCACTATGTGAAAAACGATTTGTAGCAACGGAACAATTTTTTATAGGGGCGGTTAGTGATGGAGCCGCCCCTACAAGGGGGAGACCAGCCGCCTACCAATAAGTCTGATTTAGCGGTGGTGATCAAATAAAACCGCCTACAAATAAGATTTGTTTGTAGGCGGCCTTACAATTACACTAGCCGTCCCTACAAATCCTCCGATCTATAAAATAACACCCAAACCCTAATCCCACACCGACGCCTCTCTCGACACCCTCGAGCCGCCTCCTCTCGTCCCTCCCCTCGTCTTCCTCATCTCCCCCACAGACAGATCCAAAGAGATCCAGGCCTCGTCAAGGCCCCTCATCCTGGTCGTAGATTGGGTCGCCCTCATGGTTGTAGATGGGTCTCCTATCTCCTATCGCCGCCGGGCTTGCGGAGGCTGCGAGTCGCCATGGCCAGCCTCGGTCTCCAGTCCGACCAAGTCCCGCAGCCTCCCCCTCGTCGTCCTCGTCAAGTCCAAGCCAGCCTATACCCTCCTGCCGGCCCCTCTCCTCTCCCCCCATCGGCGGTCTTCTCCCAAGTCGTCTAAACCCTCTTCTCCCAAGTCGTCTAAACCCTAATCCCCAAATCCCAGAATCCCAGACCCAGCGCATCTGCGTTCACCCTCGCGCATGGAGCGGATGCACGTGGCTCGGCATCCTCGACCTCGATCCTCTGACCAAGCCTATGGAGCCAGCCTCGGGTCGCCGCCTCGGGCGGTGGCGCTGGAAGCCTCGGAGCTTCCGACGGGAATCGCTGGAGGTCGCCTACGGACCGAATCGCCTCATGCGGTGGTGGATGCGGTCCGATTATTACTTTCTTGGGATGCTGCGGTTCTTGCCTCCGAACATCATGTTATGTGCTTTTTTTATTCAAGCGCGTCCTGTGTCTTCACATCTGTGTCTTCATTCAGAATATAATCTAGCGATGATTGACAGTCGTTTATTTTTCGTCATCTGAGCGGATCTACCTACAGTTCCTGTTTGTGGAATATTTTACTATTCTTTCCACCCTTTACACCTTAGCTCAACACGTTTCAGTATAAGTATCTCTGTCTATTTCATCTCGTGCTTGTATTGTAGTTTCAGTGTGTATGGATCTGAATGGATGTGGCTGTCCTTTCTTTTTTCCCATAACGATACTGTCATGTCAATAACATGTGCGCAATCTTGTCCTAATGGCGTTAACTCCTAACGCCTTTCCACGAGGCAGTACAAAATTGTCAGTTATGTTTTCTGCTCCAAATTTGTTTGCCACATGTTAAATAAATAAAATAGGTTTAATAAACACTGGATGTAGATGTCCTGCAATCGTATCTCATTGGATCTTAGCAGTAATCTTCTTAAAACCTTTTTTTTGTTTTTAAGGTTGAAGGACGTGGAACCAGTAAGCTATTGTGAAACTGAGCCAAAGAAAGAGAAACACCTCTGAAGATGGCAAAACAGCAGTAATAGAGATAGGAGCCAAGGAAGAAATATATACTGAAGAGCACGACAAGCTCTTGGGTCACATGCAGCATGCCAGCATTTGGGCTCTTTTGTCTGGCTATGGCAAAGGAAAGCAATCTCAATCACAACTCTAAAAAACTATTTGAATTCTAGATGTTTGAATCAGTTGCCTTTGCCATGTGGATGTTGGGTAAAAATGTAAAATTGACTTGAAGACACGGATGCGCCTTGTTTAGCGTGGTCGCTAGGAAATCTGAAATTGCCATGCTCTTGATGCTCTCATTTGATAAATCAATGCTTATCCTTTCAAAAATTTTGGAGCAGGCACTATTCAAACTCACAAGAGGGCAACAAAATATAGCTATTGGATTGCATTCATCTCCAGTTTCAATGTACATTTGGCAGAAAAGAAGCTTGCCGGACACAAAAAATCTAAATGTGTTTCTACAACTAATAACAATGTTACCATTATCTACCATCAAGCAAAACCACATCTTTCATGAATCAAGAATAATGGTAAATTGATTGTTACAACCTAGTGCCTAGTGCTTAAGGGCAACATAAAAACAATGCTACTAAAAGTTCACCAGCATCTGCTTCATCACAATTTGCAAAATCATACAGGTATATAGAAATATTACACAATTTTGCGTCAGTACATGACCACAGCCAGCTAGCTTCCGTCGATATTTCACAGGCAAATAAAATCTCTGCATAATGCACTGGAGGAGCATTCATGACTTACTAATGTCATAGAAAGAAAAACACACCCTCTACTGCGCCGTACTACCATCAGAATCGGTCGCATCGACGTTGCAAGTCTTGATCAGGAACCAGCACCTTCACCAGCTATGCAACCCCACCCGACACACAGACGGACCAAAACCCGCGTCAGATTGAAACCATGGAAGAAGAGCTCTTTGAATTTCACAATATATTCTTGAATAGGCTGGAGGGTTCCACCATCTAGGAAAAATTAGAGAACAAGCACTAGTAGAGAACAGACCTTTCATCCGATGTTAAAATGGGCTCTAGTCCAGGTATTTTTTGCGCCCGGGACTAGAGAGACCTTTAGTCCCGGTTGGTGTCTCAACGGGACTAAAGGTCCTCGCCAAACTCTGCGCTTGGCACGAGTGGCAGAGGACCTTTAGTCCCGGTTGGAGACACCAACCGGGATTAAAGGTGGATCTTTACCCGGTTGGAGCCACCAACCGGGACTAAAAGTCCTCAACCTTTAGTCCCGGTTGGTAACACCAACCGGAACTAAAAGTAGACCCTTTAGTCCCGGTTGGTAACACCAACCCGGACTAAAGGACCCTTTAGTCCCGGTTCATAACACCAAACGGAACTAAAGGTCCCCCGATGGGTTAGTTCAAAAGGGAAGCATCCCATCCGTTGTTAGATGTGTTGTGTAGGTGGGGTGGTAAGCTACGCGCGAGTCAATGCATGGGGTCTTGGGTTCGAATTTCACGGGACGCAGCGGTGGGAGGCATTATTTTTTTTAAAGCTGGGAGGACCTTTAGTCGGTTGGTGTTACCCACGAGACTAAAGGTGTCCCCCTTTAGTCCCGGTTTCTGACCCGGGACTAAAGGGGATGCTTACTCCCGGGTGGGGAACCAGGACTAGAGGGAGTTCTCCACCGGGAGTAAAGCTTTGTTCTGTACCAGTGAAGTCATTCTCATGCATGAACATTTAATATTTTAACTGAAGTAATTTTGCACTATGCAACTCAGACTTCTGAGTTTTCTCCTTGAAATAGATAGCAATTAGCAACTATGCATTTTACCTGATACTTGTCGCGGATGAGAGCTGAATGGAAAGGATGAGTCCAGCATGTGTAATGGTAGTATGGCGCATTGTCTTATATTGAGCAAATGTACTATCCCTTTAGATCATCATTTAGTGAATATGCTGCCAATGGCACCACCTACACTCCAAATATTATTCAAAGAACAAACATAGAGTATTGGTTAGAACTGAAATGCCTTGCTTATAATGTCATATCACACAACCAACGCAGTAACAGTAAGAAGCATGATCCATGTAATTTTTGTTGAAATAGGATAGTTCAAGCACAAAATAATTTATTTAATAACATAACAACATCTATGGGAATGTGCTTAACGAAAACCACACAAACAATTAGGACATATTTTATATGCAATTTATCAAACTTCCAGTGCTCTATTTTTTTCCTAAGCTCAAATTAAGTTGAAAACAAAGCTGCAAATATTATACTTGTTTGCAGTTAGTATTGACATGGCCAACTAATTGTGTCTGAAACAAATAAAAATAGAGTTCATGAAACATAACTCTAAGAAGGAGATGGAAGAAAAAAAATCAATACCAGGAGGATATCCAGCAGGGCACGGTGAGGTGCTTAAGTGAGAAGAGCCTTCAATTGTGAATCAAAAGTATGGCCTGCATTGCAGTAAGTAGTTTTGTGATCAATTAAAAATACAAGTAGCAGCTCACAGCACTAAAAGAGTCATAGTTCAAAAATCCATAATGAAACAAAAGAAAGGGGAAATAAGCAAACTGACCGATACAGCAACTAATCCATGGATGCGGGACACCAGGTCCTTGAACAATTCTGGCGATCTCGAACGAAGCATTAAGAACAGATGCCACCCACTCAGGAGTATTAGTCGATGATTCAGGCTCCTGCTCAGTAGTTACACCTGAGAACTGTTCATTATATGCTTTGCGGTAGAACCTGAGAATAGTTATCATACCACATGAAATTATGAACCAATAGACAAACCTAACTGTTACGGATAATATATCACTATAGCTGTAATTAGTAATACACCAATAGAAATTATGAGCATCACATATCGATGAGACAAAACTACGAGCAATTTTGCTATTATTAAACTAAGCGAAAGGTTCATAGCAACATTACCTGTTTGCCTCTGCCAGTAGATTTACCAAACTATCCAATTGCTTATGCTGGATTAGAAAGTTAGTTCCTCCCTAAACCCTCCATCACTACAGAGCAAATCAACAAAACCAAGACCAACAGTAGGGGCGGATCCAGTAAAAGGACACGGTGGACATATGCACACTTGATAACTATTGTAACAAAATCGAATTTGGTAGGCTTGATATTAGATCAGATCTGAGTACACCAAATAGCTTAAGTTAGGGTTTGGGTCCTCGGCTTCGCACTGAAGGGAGAGCAGGGAAGGGGTGGGCGTAACTGTTGGTGCTCGTCGACGGCGAAGACATGGCGAAGGGCCCGACGAAAACCTAGGCACCTGGCGTAGGGCTGCCGCGATGGTCTGCGGTCGCCACGAGAGAGGTGTGCGTGGGCCCTCACGCCTGGTGGTACAGCGGCGCAGCGGCCTCAGCGTCCTGGCGGCGCTCTGCACTGGTGGGCTGGTGCCTCGTCCGTGGGGGAGAGATGGAGGAGGAGTCGTCGCAACGTGGGAGGGGAAGCGTCGGGGGAGTGGGAGAGTCGAGCGCGGGGTGGGACGGCCACGCGTCGGAGCGAGGATACGGGAACGCAGCGGGCAGGACTATGGACCCACGTTGGAATGTCGCACCAAAAAATGTCAACGCTTTGTTCTTTTGAGTTGTAGGAGATAATAAATAAAAGGAGAGGGGATATCTTTTGTCTATTAGGGCTTGCTTGTTTCTCATGCTCTAAAATTTAATTACTAAGCTAAAGTTAAGTACTAACTTTAGACTACTCTAGTTCACTTGTGTAGTCTAATGAACTAGTGACTTTTTTATGACGTTAAATTTGACAATATTTTAGACTACATGTTTGGAAATTCAAGAGCTAAAGTGGTTTAAAGTTTAGTGGCAAAACTTTAGACCACGGCATCCAAACGGGGCATTTTTGCTGCATTGCTCCCTTATGTTCTTCCTACCAGTTCCGAATGTACCAGAGTCTTTACTCCTCATTAATTATCTAGTCAGCCAGTGATGTCACCCATAACCAGTCCGTTTAAATGGAGCTCACTGTCGTCACCAATAACGGCCAAAATAATACAACTATAAAATGGTTTACAGTAGTAAAGAAAAATGGGAGGTAATAATTTCCATATAGCAGCAATGCAGTGCAGAGGATGCGTCGGTTTCTAGGAGAATAGCACAAGGAGGAAGCTGCAGTGTAATTTCCAAGCAACATGACCTGCAAACCTTGTCTGTCGCTGTTGGCTTTCACTATCTGCGCCAGTTTTTACTTGCGAAATTGTCAAACCAGCGATCTGAGTTGCAGCTTTGCAAGTAGCAGTTGTTGCAAGGAGGTCTGACTGGCTTCTGGCGATGATTATTGGAGCTGCAGACACCTCTACCTGCAATGGCGTTGATACAAGGGGACAAACAGAGAACAACTGTTTAGCACAGTGCTAGCGATCCATTTCTCCTCTGTTGTGCTACGGATATGCAGTTCAATAATTGACCTGAATGCTATATACGTGGACAAAATTTACAATGGTTTGAAAAAACATGGGCCACTACAGGAGACGCGCTCTTTGCCGAGTGCTCGGTGCTTTGCCGAGTGCCGAAACACGGGCACTCGGCAAAGAGGCCGTTTGCCGAGTGCCACACTCGGCAAAGCCGGCACTCGGCAAAGGCTGTCTTTGCTGAGTGCCAAATTTCTGGCATTCGGCAAAGATGTATTTTGCCGAGTGCTATTTTTTGGCACATGGCAAAATGCGTCGTTGCCGAGTGCCTTTTTTCTAGCACTCGGCAAAGATGTATTTTGCCGAGTGCTATTTTTCAGCACACGGCAAAATGCATCTTTGCCAAGTGGCTCGGCGAAGATGTATTTTGCCGAGTGCCTTTGTTTTGGCACTCGGCAAAGAGCCATTTTGCCATGTGCATTTTTTTTGCCCTCGGCAAATCAGTTTTTCAAAGCAATTTTTGAGGCCCTAAATGAATTCAAATGAAAAACTTTTCAACTACAAAGTTGTATAACTTCTCAAGATCTACAAAGTTTATGTTGGTCATTTCTTCATTTGACAAAGCGACAATAACGTTGTTCATAAAATCTACATCTCTCATATCTCTCATATTAGTTTCATGAAACTAGAAGAGAGATATATAAGATTTATGAACAATGTTACTACCACTATGTCGGATGAATAAATGACCAAAATAAACTTTGTATATCTTGAGATGTTATGAAATTTTATAGTTGGCATCATTTTGATTTAAAATCATCTTGTCATGCAAAAACGACGTTTGAATTTGAAAATTTTAAAATTTGAATTTTTCAAAAGACCTTGGATGGAAAAACTTCCTAAATGAAAATTGTAGATTTCCAAAAGTTATGAAACTATGTAGTTGACAACTTTTTGATTTGAAATCATCTTATCATGCAAAACTACGTTTGAATCTCTAAAATTTGAAATTCGAATTTTTCAAACGACCTCGGATGGCAAAACTTCCTAAATGAAAATTGTAGATCTCGAAAAGTTATAAAACTTTGTAGTTGACCACTTTTTGATTTGAATTCATTTAGGGCCTCAAACAAGCAATTTACTCTCAGTTTAGTATAATATATGAGAATAGATAACGGAATTTAGACACAAGTGACAGTGTAGTGCAGTGGTAGAGCAGCAGACACACGAGGGAGAGGTCGTGAGTTCGAATCCCGCCGGCCGTGTTAGCCGCGAATTTAGCGCAAAAAATGCAGCGACTTTTGCTGGAGACGGGCGGGCGTTGGCCGGTGGCGGCCTCCCCCGAAAAAAATTGAAAAATTTTGCTATTATTTTTGGGTTTTTTCGCATTTTTATTTTGCCAAGTGTAAATCTTTGCCGAGTGCCGTCGTGGCACTCGGGAAATCCTTTGCCGAGTGCCCGACATGCGACACTCGGCAAAGAAGCCATTGCTGTGAAGGGATATGCCGACAGCTCTTTGCCGAGTGCAAAGCCTTCTTTGCCGAGTGCAATTGCACTCAGCAAAGCACGCGTCTGCTGTAGTGAACGGTGGAAAAAATAAAAGGTACTCTATTCAAAGTACCTGAAGCTACCAAATAGGTGGGAATAGTACCAAATTAGGTGGGACCAATACCCATATTTATTTTTTCAGAGAAATTTAATTATGTAATTTGTGTATTTTCATTAAGGGCAAAACTAAGGTCTCGTATTCCATCTTTGTTTCAATCTAAGCCCATTCTTGCCCTGTTTTCTTTTCCCCATCGTTAGGAACACCCGGACCGCCGCCCCCGCTACGCCACCAGCGCCGAGCGTCGTCCGTCTCTGCTGAGATCTGCTGGGCGGTAGGGGAGTCAATGTGCAACTGTCGTAGGCCGTGGTCCTCAGCAATAGCAAGGCGTCCTTGATGTAGTTCGGGGGCCAACAGCATGTGGGGGGACCGGGGGGCGGAGGCGGGAAGAGAGAGCGGCCCATAGGTGCAGGAAGGAGTCGAGTGGAACGGGATGCTTTCCAGGCCGCCGACCTGCTGCCATCTGACCACACCAGCACATTCTGTGCTTCTTTCTCCACCAGATTGCCCAAGCATCCACCGGTTCATCCACCAGTTTGCGTACTAGCTAACTGGAGGCCGGAGCACGTGATCCAGCGAGCACAACGGTATCCTCACCGGTGGCCACTTCGGAGACGCGCCGGCACAGTCTGTACCTCGACATCAACATCGCCGTGATTGCTCACTGATGACTTGAATGGTACAGCAACACGGAGTAGGCATTGGCAAGCTCGTCGAGCAGCACGGCGTCATCGGTGGGGGCAGCGGTGGCTAGGGGCTAGCCGAAGGCGGCGGCGCTGGATGCCCTGAGTGGAAGGCATCTGCGGACTGTGGCTCCCTAGTCGGAGAAAGGACAAAAAAAACTCAATTACAAAATTACCCTCTATGAAAAAATTGCATTTTATAAATACTCTTTGTCAGATAATTAGCTAGAAAATAATACAAATGAAAGTACTTGGAAGTACCAATGGTACTTTTCCAACCATGTCCAAATACATAGTGTTAGTTAAGACAAAACTCAAGACAACATGAGGGCTAAAACTGAATTCACGCTAATTTCAATCATACATATAGAGATCAGTCGTGTACAGAAATACAGCATAGCAAACTACAAACCGAATATTCACATCCAGGCATGAAAAAGTAGTTTTTATTTGTCTGACAACGTTTTTTGAAGCGCGGACCTTGACAAATTTTAAAACTATATATATAAGACGGCCCCCCGAAATTGAAGTAATGAGCTCGTACATAAATAAGTCTAAGCACAAATCAGTCGCCACCTTTGAACTTCTACCGCTTTCTAGGCCTCGTTCGGCTTGCTGAAACTTGGTTGAAACTTGCTGAAAAACACGGTTCTGGCTGAATTGTTGTGAGAGAAAAATACTGTTTCGGCTGAAAAAAGAAGCCGAACAAGCCGGCTTGTGGGTAACCCGAACGTACCCTCCGGCTGGGTCTTGGCATGGCCCTCAGAGTAACGAGTGCAATACCATGTGGAGAAAACCAATACAGAGCATAATCCGTGGGTTCTGGTTCATGGACCAAATAATCGAGCGCATCTGATCTTGCTATCTCCTCCAGTTGTTGCACACTACCGTTTCTCCATTCCCTTTTGCCTCCGAACTCAATACGGATCACATCGTTGGAGTACCAAGACACATGAGGCGCAAACACACCGTGCAGAACCAGAGGTGCGTTACGCAAGTTGTTTTTGGGCGCTGAATTGTAGCAACTAAAATAGATCCTAGTAACTGGCTCCGGAATTTCTATTGATGACTTGCTAGCTAGTGTTCCGCAGCTATTTCCATTGCAACATATTGGATCCGGGCGCAAGAATTCTGTATAAAAGGCACATATTTCATTGATGGAACTGGGTGGAAGAACATAGGAATGGAAAGTGTCCTGCAAATTAGGCAGCAGCGTGAGTTCTCCTATTGCACATTCAGCCACAAGCTTGAACTGAGATGTCAACCTCTGGATGCACTTAATACTCATCCCTATGATATTGGTGTCTTCGGAGATTCGTAGCCTCAGACTTATAAAAAGCGTTCCTCGAGCTTCCTGAGATCGTTATATTCATAACGTAGTATGACCTCTACGCCACGCCCTTCTACAATCATGGGACGTAGGTCTAAACTGAGGGAATGACTTGGATTCTTTACGATTTGACACCTGAGACTTTTCCCTTCAAGAAGATGCTTAAGAAATGGATAGCGGAAGGTGTCAAGCCGGAGTGGGCAGCTGGACTCCACCTCTGCTACAAACTTTTCAGCCCAGTCTGCATACCTCTCAAATTTTTGGGCAACGGAGGAACTCACCTTTTTCTCCTTGCCCAAGCCAACAAGAGAAGAGATGGAGAAGTTTGCAGCCCTATCGGCGATCCATTGAAGGTACGAGGAACTCCTTACCACCACGTGGCCATCGTTCTCATTCTGCGGCTTCTTGTGCTTGTTGAGCAGTTCTGTCCCCTCCATATAGACTCCCTTGATATCCTTCCTACTACGTAGCAAGGACACGTATATGACTGGTATCCTCCCTGTCTTCTCAAGGGCAATGTCCAAGCGAGCGAGTGCAATCTCGAGCCTTGCGATTGTGTCTGCTCTGGACGCCTTGTCTTCGACCTTGGTTGAGATGTACGAGAACACTTTTCTCACACCCTCCTCAGCGACGGCTGAAGGTAGTGCCATCAAGTTACCGTACAGCTGTTCAAGATACAAAATAATGAGAGCTGTACTTTGACACAAATATATGAAGCTTGAATTCCAAATGATATCTTACTATCTTACTGAGAAGAAACATTATTATAGACCTTTCTTGTTAATGAGATTAATTATCACGAGACAGGTTAGAAGAACTGATAAATTTGTAAACCTCTTGCAAAAATAAATGCATCCCGCCAATGATTTGTTATACTCTAATTGTAACCAACAAAAATAGCTGTTGGATCTATTTTGTTTTCTAAAAAATTATCCACCTCTGCTGTTATGAAAATACACAAAAGTAACCCCCCCTAAATCTATCAAAATTTCCCACATTTAACCTATATCACTATGAAGAATAACCTGAAGTAATCCATAATCTTCTTGTCAATTACCCATCATCTAAGCCATCATGATTTTGTATTTAGGTGAGTTGTATACATGGGTATTAAAATAATGTAAAGTAATCCCATCTATTCTGTTATATAAATAATGTAAAGGATCCGCTCAATTGTGCATCTAAATTTCTCACATATGTTACTGTATAAAAATAGCCAACAATAACCCTTTGTATTTATTACATCAAAGTTATGTACCATTATAAAAAAATTAACCCATTAACACAAAAGTCAATAGCAAAAACCTAACTGCCAAAAGGTCAGCTTCTTGTTCCTTCATAATTCACTTTTGTTATTACTGTAATGGTGTATTTTATTTGAGTTGCCATGTTCTTTCAGCAACCTACTGCACCATTAGCATTTTTCAATGCACGAAAAAAGGCAGGAAGACCTCTTTCATGTTTATTTCTGTTTGATAATTGAAGGCCTTTTTCATGTTACAGAGAAGTCTATATATTTTTGGCCATTTAGCTATTGCTCAAGTATGTTTTTGGCCAAACAACTCTAAAACTAGAAATTTTTTACCACTAAGCTATCAGTATCGAACAAAATTGGTCAAATTGTACCAAAAATACCGTCCTCTCCGCCTGTTCATTTAACAAAAGGAGCTACTGCTTTATTTTGAGGTGCACAAGATCTTGAGTAATATATATGGCACACAAGCTTGGGATTCTGATGGAATAAATGTAAGCCTAATCTTTACCTTAGCTCTAGAGTGCAGCAGCCGCGTGTGGAGCACCAGCTGCACCCCGATCACAGCTTCACCACGGAAGGAAGGGTCCAGGTCTCCAAGATAAGGTGAGCTCAGGAAGAGAGTAGTGAAGTTGTGCACTGCTTGTATTCAGCGAGGTGCACAAGATCACTGCTTTTATAGTAGTATATAAGAGTGGAGGAAGGAGGTCCATTATTGTTTTGGGCCCAGTGTGCGAACAAGTTGGATTGGGTGCCATTGAAATGAGCAGAAAAGGTCAGGGAAATGCAGATGATATGGGTCTGTTCCTAGGAGGAAGCTTCAGCGTAAATTTGAGATGTCAATAATTGCAAGCCTTTTAGTAGCAGCCCCAACTGTCTGTGCTCTCTGATATATAATAGTCGTAGGAACAAGCACAGAAAGAAACATTTCTCTGTCATTGTGCTATCCTCATAATGGTAAAATAGCACAGCCTCCTTGCCACGCTCATCAGAATACATGGCCATATATATGTTCAAACAATATAGTTTGAACAATATGGTGATACTAGGTAGAATACATTGCCACGCATAGAACAATATGGTTGTACTAGGTAGAATAAATAGAGCTTGATTTTAGAAGAATTTTGGAAGTGGTTTCACGGGAAGCGGAGTTAGGATGAGAAAGATATGATTTTAGAAGTTTAAATATAGTTTGAGAATTAAATAGAATTTATGGAAATATTTTGGTGTATGGAAAATGGGTGAAAATAATATAGGTAGATTCCTGGGGGCATCTAGTTTATTAAGAAATTTTCTAGGAATTTTTCTAAGTAAGGAAATTAGGTGGTCAAGTGTGACGCATTTGAACAGGGAAGAGGGGTCGAGTTCGTCCGGAGCTTATTACGCCGTGGCATGAGAGCCTCGGGCAAGATGTGGAGTGGCGGATGGTGCTCGGGAGGCCAAGCCTGTAGAGGATATACCCCGGTACCCACAAGACAAGACATGGGTCGGGTCCCAAAGGTGGTCCAGCCCACAAGATCAAGGCGTGCACCAAAGGCTACGAGAAGATGTGATTTATTGTATAATATCAAATCGAACTTGGGCTGCCCCTTCATCCAAACGCACGCCACATATTTTTTAATACCTCTATTCCCAAATTTTAAGTCATTCTGCCTTTTATTTGTAGATACATAGCTTTTTATCATGCACATAGATGTACACTATATCTTGGCTATGTATATAAAAATCCCGAATGACTTGCACCTTAGATATATAGCAAAGGCTATATTGAGCAAGCTTCAAGGTTCAACCAAGACATCAGTGCGGTCGCCGGTGGTGCCAGTTCACACTCTCTTTGGGAGCCTTTTCTTAAGATGAGGATGGCCAACACAAACCTCCATTGGACAAGACATTGGCAACGGAAAAGTGGCTAAGGGGCCGTTTGATGGATCTTCTCCACCAGCTTCTGGAACCACTTCAGCATATCCGACCAAACGGAAAGTGGTTAAGGGGGTATTTAGGAGTTTCATGTCACTGTTTCCAAATTCTCATGTGTTGAAAACCGTTTAGATAAGTTTTATTTTATCTCTTTTCATCAATGATATGCCACATCATGTTACTTTTCATCAATGATACGCCCGGTACCCACAAGACAAGACATGGGCCGTGCCCCAAAGGTGGCCCAGCCCATAAGATCAAGGCGTGCACCGTAAGGCTACAAGAAGATGTGATTTATTGTATAATACCAAATATGATATTTTTTTATAACCCTACCCCTCCGGAGTATATAAGGAGGGGCAGGGGTCCCCTAGACAATAGATCGAATCTCATACTCAATCAATACAAAATAACACAGCACAGGACGTAAGGTTTTACGTCACGCTGATAGCCTTAACCTGTATAAATCTTGTGTCTTGTGTCTCTGTTACCAACTAGTTCATATCTCGTGCACCTCCACCGATTCGTCGACAAAGCCGCAGCCATATGCGGGGTTGTCGGCAACGGTGGGCGCCCATGGTGGTGGTGGCGGCTCGCCGGAGTGTCCGCGGCGGCGCTGTGCTGTGTAGATGGGCGTAGGAGCCTTTTTTGGCTGGTTTGCCCCTTGTACGTGCTTGCGGGTGTGATGTGGATATGCTAGAGGTGTTGTGGAACCTAACCAAGCCTTTGTCATTGCAGCCGGCGACCATGGTGGCTCGACAGTGAGCATAGCTTCCGATGCTAGCGTAACACGAGGGAGAGAGAGGGTGGAGGAGAGGTCGAGGGACTCACCTTCTACCCTAATCGGCCGAGAGACACAGCAGAGAGAAGGAGAGTATTGAGGGCGACTCAATCACGGCGGTAAGCGCTGAATCTGGGGAAAACTAACTAAGCGCTCTAAAGAGAGGGAAAGACGAGGAATGGAGGGAGATGGGATGTTCTAGCTCTAGCGGAGCTCTTCTCAGTCGCCGTGATGTCGGGCGCCACTGGCCGAAGCATATTTATAGGCGGCCATGGCGGTGCCCGGTGTTGGGATATTTTCCCGACCGGTGGGATATTTCTCTGTCGGCGCTCACATTTGAATCCACAAGGCGGTTTGCCACAATGCGATCTTATCCATGCGCTTCGTCGGAGGAGCTTCATCCTTATCCATGGCGACAACGGTCGACGGAGCTTGCACCGCCGCGTGTTCATGGAGCGCAGAGAGGGAGAAACAGTGGGGCTAGGAAGCTTCCAGAGGAGGGCGTCCTCATCCTTATCCCCTCGGTAGCCGGGGCAAAGGCGGTGACGGTGCGACCCTAGGAGCATACCAGCGTCGCTGCGTGAGGTGAACAACGCATATATCTCGACCAGGTGGGATCCGTGCATCGAGTGAGTGAGAGAGAGGAGGGGGGCGGGCGTGTTTGGCAGCTGGGCCGGCCCTAGTCTTGAGGCAGCGGCACGCTCGGGCTGCTGCCGATGCCGGCCCATTGCGGGAGAAGAGAAGAAAGGCGGCGGGCTGCAATGTGGGCGAGGAGGAGAGAAGAAGAATGAGCCCAGTAGCTCTTTTCCATTTATGAATTCCTTTTTTCTTTTTCCAGAAATTTCTATAGGGTGTTTTGAGATGAATTTGAAGCAAAATTAAATATGGCTTTTCAAGAAGAGTGTACCACCATATGTTCAACAAGCAAAGCAAGCAATCAAACACTTCAAGGCATTGTCACTCATGTAGTTTTATTTCTTAAGTTGATCTACTTGTGATAAAATAATTCCTATGTAAGTCATATTTATTTGTTTTATAGAAAGTTTTAAAGCGGTTCAAATTTTTAGTGATTTTTAAACTAGGCAAAAATCAGGGTGTTGCACATGTCCGCGAGAAAAGTCAAGGAATCACCGAGGATGCTTCTTAGCAACTTCCTTCCGATAGTATATATACAATCATGTATCATGGTGTAGGATGGATCGAACGCGATTTCGAATGCGACGACTAGAAAACTTGTACGACCATGGTCGGCCTCGGTCATCGTCATTGTTGGATTTTATTAGCGCGTTGAGTAACTACTAGATCATTATTAGTAGCTTTATTAGTAGATCGGCGGTGCAAATAATCATCATTTATCCGGGTCCTTAGTCATTCTTGCCTTACCATCACACTCTTACAACAACAACAACAAAGCCTTTAAGTCCTAAACAAGTTGGGGTAGGCTAGAGTTGAAACCCAGCAAAAACAATCAAGGTTCAGGCACGTGAATAACTGTCTTCCAAGCACTCCTATCTAAGGCTAAGTCTTTGGGTATATTCCATCCTTTCAAGTCTCCTTTTATTGTCTCCATCCAAGTCAACTTCGGTCTTCCTCTGCCTCTCTTCAAGTTACTATCCTGGCTTAGGATTCCACTATGCACCAGTGCCTCTGGAGGTCTCCGTTGCACATGTCCAAACCATCTCAACCGGTGTTGGATAAGT